GTTTTCTAGAAATTTCGCAAGTGTTCGGTTGTTTGGTGATTAGTGGTCGTTTAATTAATAAATAAATGCGGTTAAAAGTTAATAAATTGTTAATATTTTTGCATAAATATGGAATTTTAATGTTTGTTAATCTTTGTATGTAAAAATATTGTTAAAAAGTAATGTGTAAATTAGTAAAAAAAGTGTGGCAAAATTGTTTGAAAATAGATAAAATGTTGTGCCGGTCGCTTTGTTGTTTCAGTTTGTCATTCGTTGTTAATATGTACCTATGTAAATAAATATGTGTGGATGTGCGGGGAATGTGTTAAGTGCAACAAAAAGTATGTATATGGGGAAGTGAATAAAGTTTTGTGTGAAGCAAAGAAGAGAAAAAAGCTTTTATATGTAAGTGTAGTAAAGGAAATAAAGAAATAAAATTAAATTTATTAATCAATAAGCTTTCAAATGTAGTGAAGGAAATAAAATGTTGATCTTTTAAAGAAAAAACTTCAAATAAAAAAGTTGTTAAAATAAATAGATAAGCTCATATTAAAAAGTCTGAAAAAATAGAAAATAAAAATAAAATGCAAATGAAAAATCTGTTAATAAATAAAAAATATAAAAAGAAATTTGGTGAAAATAAATGTAAAAGCAATTTGAAAATTTGAAAAAAAGAGAAATTGAAGTTGTTTGCGGAAAGGAAACAGGTGTTAAATAAGGTGAGTGCTTATTTTATTTTGTTATGTATGTACATGTAAAGCTTTTTAAAGGGAATATAGCTTTTTTTAAAGTTCAGTTTTTAAAAAAATGTTACGCAAAATAAAAGCACAATTTTTAATTTATATGAAATAGTAAAACAAAAAATACTTTATACTAGTCTATAGTCTAGTCTATAGTCTAGTCTATAGTCTAGTCTATAGTCTAGTCTAGTCTAGTCTAGTCTATAGTCTAGTCTATAGTCTAGTCTATAGTCTAGTCTATAGTCTAGTCTATAGTCTAGTCTATAGTCTAGTCTATAGTCTAGTCTATAGTCTAGTCTATAGTCTAGTCTATAGTCTAGTCTATAGTCTAGTCTATAGTCTAGTCTATAGTCTAGTCTATAGTCTAGTCTATAGTCTAGTCTATAGTCTAGTCTATAGTCTAGTCTATAGTCTAGTCTATAGTCTAGTCTATAGTCTAGTCTATAGTCTAGTCTATAGTCTAGTCTATAGTCTAGTCTATAGTCTAGTCTATAGTCTAGTCTATAGTCTAGTCTATATAGTCTAGTCTATAGTCTAGTCTATAGTCTAGTCTATAGTCTAGTCTATAGTCTAGTCTATAGTCTAGTCTATAGTCTAGTCTATAGTCTAGTCTATAGTCTAGTCTATAGTCTAGTCTATAGTCTAGTCTATAGTCTAGTCTATAGTCTAGTCTATAGTCTAGTCTATAGTCTAGTCTATAGTCTAGTCTATAGTCTAGTCTATAGTCTAGTCTATAGTCTAGTTATAGTCTAGTCTATAGTCTAGTCTATAGTCTAGTCTATAGTCTAGTCTATAGTCTAGTCTATAGTCTAGTCTATAGTCTAGTCTATAGTCTAGTCTATAGTCTAGTCTATAGTCTAGTCTATAGTCTAGTCTATAGTCTAGTCTAGTCTATAGTCTAGTCTATAGTCTAGTCTATAGTCTAGTCTATAGTCTAGTCTATAGTCTAGTCTATAGTCTAGTCTATAGTCCAGTCTATAGTCTAGTCTATAGTCTAGTCTATAGTCTAGTCTATAGTCTAGTCTATAGTCCAGTCTATAGTCTAGTCTATAGTCTAGTCTATAGTCTAGTCTATAGTCTAGTCTATAGTCTAGTCTATAGTCTAGTCTATAGTCTAGTCTATAGTCTAGTCTATAGTCTAGTCTATAGTCTAGTCTATAGTCTAGTCTATAGTCTAGTCTATAGTCTAGTCTATAGTCTAGTCTATAGTCTAGTCTATAGTCTAGTCTATAGTCTAGTCTATAGTCTAGTCTATAGTCTAGTCTAGTCTAGTCTATAGTCTAGTCTATAGTCTAGTCTATAGTCTAGTCTATAGTCTAGTCTATAGTCTAGTCTATAGTCTAGTCTATAGTCTAGTCTATAGTCTAGTCTATAGTCTAGTCTATAGTCTAGTCTATAGTCTAGTCTATAGTCTAGTCTATAGTCTAGTCTATAGTCTAGTCTATAGTCTAGTCTATAGTCTAGTCTATAGTCTAGTCTATAGTCTAGTCTATAGTCTAGTCTATAGTCTAGTCTATAGTCTAGTCTATAGTCTAGTCTATAGTCTAGTCTATAGTCTAGTCTATAGTCTAGTCTATAGTCTAGTCTATAGTCTAGTCTATAGTCTAGTCTATAGTCTAGTCTATAGTCTAGTCTATAGTCTAGTCTATAGTCTAGTCTATAGTCTAGTCTATAGTCTAGTCTATAGTCTAGTCTATAGTCTAGTCTATAGTCTAGTCTATAGTCTAGTCTATAGTCTAGTCTATAGTCTAGTCTATAGTCTAGTCTATAGTCTAGTCTATAGTCTAGTCTATAGTCTAGTCTATAGTCTAGTCTATAGTCTAGTCTATAGTCTAGTCTATAGTCTAGTCTATAGTCTAGTCTATAGTCTAGTCTATAGTCTAGTCTATAGTCTAGTCTATAGTCTAGTCTATAGTCTAGTCTATAGTCTAGCCTATAGTCTAGTCTATAGTCTAGTCTATAGTCTAGTCTATAGTCTAGCCTATAGTCTAGTCTATAGTCTAGTCTATAGTCTAGTCTATAGTCTAGTCTAGTCTATAGTCTAGTCTATAGTCTAGTCTATAGTCTAGTCTATAGTCTAGTCTATAGTCTAGTCTATAGTCTAGTCTATAGTCTAGTCTATAGTCTAGTCTATAGTCTAGTCTATAGTCTAGTCTATAGTCTAGTCTATAGTCTAGTCTATAGTCTAGTCTATAGTCTAGTCTATAGTCTAGTCTATAGTCTAGTCTATAGTCTAGTCTATAGTCTAGTCTATAGTCTAGTCTATAGTCTAGTTCATTGGTTGAGTGAGACTAATCCACTGCAGTCCCTTGAGATTGCATTACGTTCGGAATAATTGGTCGAAGCTCGGGTTTAGGATAATGGGTTACCGTACCATAATCAACAATTTTTGTTTGAAAATATAGATGACATTGATCCATCTTAAAGGAATCATGAGGATTTTCCATATTATTTCTAAATAAAGATCATTAGGAGACTCAAATTTAAAATTTTTGTTATTTTCGTTTATTTTTGTATTTATAAGAAGTGAGTATATTAATATTGTTTGTAAATTCACAGCTATTTACATATCATTAAATAGTACATCATCCCGGTCCTATTTTCTGAAAAAAATCACAGATGTTACACAATAATAAATTACAGCTGTCATAAAAATATCCCCACCATAAAAATCATTATACAAATTTTCAAAACACCAATGTAATCTGATTTAGAAATATAAAGCGCGGGTGATCTTGTTTTTTTGATCATAACAAAACAAACAAAGTAATAAAACACAGATCTTTAACAAATTAAAAAGAAATCTTCAAATAACATAAATTTTTCAAACCTATTTGCATAATTTCATCCAACATCTGTAGACCGATATAAAGGTGAAAGGATTTTGATTTACCTTGAAAAGAAAAGTAAAAGGTTTTAGATGTTAATCAACCGCAACAAATTACTCAAAACAACCCTTTATTTTTATTGTTTAATAAAAATAATAAAACATTTTGTTTGTATTTATTAAAAAATAATTACATAAATATTTATTTAAAAAATTAAAATATTAAAAATCCAATCAATCGAAGAAAATTAACATAAATCTGTGCACATAATCGTTCACTCTATTACTTAGACTACAATTAAAATTTAAAATTATTAAAAGAAATAAAAAGGCTAAAAACTAATTAAGTTAAGGTGTATCAGCTACTTTTTGTATAATCCAATCAATGAAATACTGTGTACTCGAATAGACACCAGGTATTTCGGGACGGGCACAACCAAAACCATAGGACACAACACCAATTAAATAGAAACGATAATTGTGGCCATATCTCTACAATGTCAAAAGGTAAAGAAATAATATCATAAATAGAGCATAAGCTGCAAGAGTATAAGATATTAAAATTACCTCGGGTATCATGAGAGGACCACCAGAATCTCCCTGACAGGTATCATCTCTTCCGGAGAATAAACCCGCACATAAAACAGCTTTATCATATTTATTTTCGGCGAAGATACGATTTTGTTGTTTGTAACGATCTCTACATACTTGATTTTCATAAATGGTAATTTGTAGTTCTTGTAGGACGTTGGAAGAGGTACCACCTTCCATTGTTTTACCCCAGCCTACGACGAAGGGAGTATAGCGAACATAGGAATTTTGTCTTAATTCAGGAGTGATGGGCATGCAGATGGGAGAAATTAGTACTTGAAAAAGAAAAAGATACAACGAATACGTTATTTAGATAAATTTGACTTTACATTCAGAGAGAAGTTATTTAAACATAAATTGAAATTTTAAATTAGTTCAGTTCTAATTCATTTCTAGTTCAGTTCTAGTTCAGTTCTAGTTCAGTTCTAGTTCAGTTCTAGTTCAGTTCTAGTTCAGTTCTAGTTCAGTTCTAGTTCAGTTCTAGTTCAGTTCTAGTTCAGTTCTAGTTCAGTTCTAGTTCAGTTCTAGTTCAGTTCTAGTTCAGTTCTAGTACAGTTCTATTTCAGTTCTAGTTCAGTTCTAGTTCAGTTCTAGTTCAGTTCTAGTTCAGTTCTAGTTCAGTTCTAGTTCAGTTCTAGTTCAGTTCTAGTTCAGTTCTAGTTCAGTTCTAGTTCTAGTTCAGTTCTAGTTCAGTTCTAGTTCAGTTCTAGTTCAGTTCTAGTTCAGTTCTAGTTCAGTTTTAGTTCAGTTCAGTTCTGTTGCAGTTCTAGTTTAGGTAAAAATTCCATATTTCACTCAAAATCTGACTTTTCCCTACAAATAGTCAAATTTTGACTTTTCAGTAAAATTTTGCCTTAATTACTTACAATACAATTTCTTACTAAAATCCCACAGAAATCAGACTTTTAAGTACAAACCCGATTTTATACTGCAAATCAGATCTTTTACTTAAATCCAAATTTTCTCAAAAAATCCAACATTGCACTTGAAATTTACACAATTTTAAAACAGTTTCTTCTACTCTATGTTCATTTCTTTGAAAGCTCTGAATTTAAATCATTTACTTTTTCAACTTACCCGAAAACTCAACATTACGTTCTAAATATAAAATAGCAATATCACTATGACCACTTCGGGGAGTATAATCAGGATGTTTTTCACTCTAAAATGAAAATATAAATTAATATTTATTCCGAGAATTCCTCCTAAAAAATACTTACTCTAACAACACGTATATCCACATGACGAGCCTCAGTATCGGTGGTTAAATTATGTTCACCCAAACGTACAAAGGATCTAAGGAAAAGCAAACAATAAATACATAGTAATTTTTATGTTTTAATTTCACTCTTACAAATCTTTTCTCAAACAATGAGCTGCTGTTACCACATGTCTAGCTGTTATCAAGGTTCCACCACACTTAAACGGCGAGACCGATGGTTCATCATCGTAACCGATTAAAGCAATCCAAGGCCAAGCAGCCTTCTTACTCTCCTCACCGACCACTTTTTTCCTAACGGTGTCATTGGTAAAACCACAACCCTCCTCAACGGTAGGCAAACGACGGGGAATTTCATTTGAATTCTTTATTAAGGGAGCTTTGGTCGAAGTTTGTGGTTGGCTGTTGGTGCTGGGACAGCAAACTGCAGTAACTTCACCACCACATATGGAATTTGATACTTGTAAAAATCTGGCAAAGGTTCGATCTTGTTTTTTCATTAGCAATTCTTCTGCCAAAGGTTTGCAATCTCTAATGGGCATACAGATACCCATTTTGAGGTCGGGACCACGACAAGTAGTTTGTCTTTGGGGACGTATTGTTGTTTGCGGTACATCGTAGGGTCTTGTGCAACAGACCTAGAGATAAAAAGGAAAACATTGATGTTTTCGATTTGTGAAACAAAGAATTGTTTTTTTTTACAGTAACTTACCACTGGGTCACCATTTACTCTTCTAGTGCCGCAGGCTCTCTGTGTTAGTATAACGTATTGTTGGACTTGTGTTTGATTATCGTTCTGGATAATATTGGCAATTTGTGGACAAAAGTTTAAAGTAACGCAAGAGCCATAGTAGTTTTCGGGTGTAACACAATATTGTGCTGAAAAGTGGAATTGAAAAATAAAATTTTAAATTTGTATTAACTTTTAGGGGAGGTTTATTTTTTGTAGATAATAGAAGATTCCTTAAAATATCCAAATTTCCACTGGAACCAGATATTTACTTAAAATTTAAAAATTTTCACCAAATATTGAAATTTTCACTAAACGACTTTTTTACAAATATATTTGAATTTTTGCTGAAATACAGATTTTCACTAAAAAAATCCGCTTTTCATTAGAGATTCAACTTTATAGATCAGAAATTTCACCAAAAATTCGACTTTTCACTAAAAATCCGACAATTCATCACAAAATTCCCTAAAAACCTCAAATTTTACTAAAAATATAACTTTTCGCTAAAAATCTGATAATTCACTAAAAAATACGACTGTTCACTAAAAATACGAACTTTCACCAAAAATCCGCAATTTTTACTAAAATTGCAACATTTCATAAAAAACTTGAAAATTTGCTAAAAAGTTTTCAATTGATTTTTTTAATATTTACCTTGTTGTTGTTGGGGCAACACAGGGGTTGTAATACATGCCACAACAATTAATGCGAAACTTATAAATAATTTCATTTCGGACTTTTTTTTCCTAATTTTATTTATAAGTAACTTTTTATTAAATATAAAATTTGTGTTTATTTTTCAATAAATTTTAAATTCGTTGTTTTTATGTACGAATTTATTGCGAAACTGTTTTCAAATTTGTCACATCAGTTAAGAAGATGCTTTTGGGTTGTTTGGCCGGTAAATAAAGTGATCAATAGCCGACTAGTTCTTAGTAGTGGTTACACTAGTAGTCAGTCTATTGTATGTTTGTTGACAGGTTTATTTTTCGATTTCTTGTTTGTATTGTTAAGTACGAACGTTGTGACGTTTTGCTACTAATAATTTCATTAAAATTCTCTAGCTTTTTATACATTCATCTTAACTGAACTGGTTGATTTGTTTTTAATATTCTCTCACTCTTAGACGCTTATATACATACTAAAGATTTGCATATTGCGGCTGCAGTTGATTATACCCTACACCACTATAGTGGGGAGGGTATTATACGTTTGTGCTGATGTTTGTAACACACAAAAATATTGGTCCTACACCCACCTTAAAGTATACCGATCGATTTAGAATCATTTTTTGAGTCGATTAAGACATGTCCGTCCGTCCGTCCGGCTGGCTGTCCATGTTAACCTTGTACCCTACACCACTATAGTGGGGAGGGTATTATACGTTTGTGCTGATGTTTGTAACACACAAAAATATTGGTCCTACACCCACCTTAAAGTATACCGATCGATTTAGAATAATTTTTTGAGTCGATTAAGACATGTCCGTCCGTCCGTCTGTCCGGCTGGCTGTCCATGTAAACCTTGTGCGCAAGGTGCAGGCCGCAAATTTTCAAGACAATTTGATGAAATTTTGACCAAGCATGTTTTTTGGCACAGGGACGAAGCCTATTGAAATCGGTCCATTATTTCACCTAGCCCCCATACAACCGTACCTCCCGATTTGGACTTTTTATGCCATAATTACGTGAAATATACTATTATCTCTCTAAAAATTGGCACAAATAAGTTTTATATAAGTATAAATGACACTGCAGATTTTCGTAATGATGGGCCCTTATTTGACCCTAGACCCCATACAAACACGCCTTCAAAAAATGTCTTAAACGTCTAAAATTGACTTGTAACCATTTGTATCGCAATGAAACTCAACAAAACTAACTCTTATTTAGAAATATATCCTTTTCCCAAATTTAATGAGGATCGGCCCATATTTGACCTATACTCCTATATGAAGCCTCATTTAGAAAATTAGTTTTTTATCAAAAAATTGCTTACATACTTTGCAATTAAGGTAAAATTCAACATAAAAGTTTCGTTATGAAAAATAAAAATTTTTAAAATAAACTCATAGTGTAGGGTATTATATGTTCGGCCATGTCCGACTATACTTTCCTACTTGTTTTCAAATAGAATTGTAGGTGGAGTTGATTAGAAGCAGTTCAAATACACAGTTCTCAAGTACAACTTTGACACCTATATGAACATTCTGGGAAAAAATAGGCGAACTAACAATAGTGGGTGTGGCACATCCTACGCCTAATATTGCTAGCCAATATAAAATGGCGTAAATAAACTTTGTACGATAAACTTCAGTGTCAACATGAAATTTTTTTGCAAAAAGATTCGGACAAGATATAATGGGCGTGTCATCTACAATATAAAGTTAATACCAAACTATAAAAGAACATACAAAATAAAAAAATATTTATTTAAAAAATTTAAAATAATAATAATCAAAACGAACGAAATTACAAAAATAAATAATCTCTCACTCTATTACTTAGACTACAATTAAGATTTAAAATTATAAAAAAAAACATAAAAAAATATTTTTTTAGAGGCCAAAAACAAGTTAAGGAGTATCAGCTACTTTTTGTATAATCCAATCAATAAAATACTGTGTACTCGAATAGACACCAGGAATTTCGGGACGAGAACAACCAAAACCATACGAAACAACACCAATTAAATAGAAACGGTAATTGTAGCCATATCTCTACAATGTCAAAAGATAAAGAAATAATATCATAACAGTTGCAGGAGTATAAGATATTAAACTTACCTCTGGTATCACGAGAGGACCACCAGAATCTCCCTGACAGGTATCATCTCTTCCGGATAGTGCACCCGCACATAAAACAGCTTTATCATATTGATTTTCGACAAAGATACGATTTTGTTGTTTGTAACGATCTCTACATACTTGATTTTCATAAATGGGAATTTGTAGTTCTTGTAGGACGTTGGATGAGGTACCACCTTGTATTGTTTTTACCCCAGCCTATGACATAGGGAGTGTAGCGAACATAGGATTTTTGTCTTAATTCGGGAGTGATGGGCATGCAGATGGGAGAAATTAATTCTAGAAATAACGAAGGGACATAAAGGGAGAAACGTTATTTAGATAATTTTTAAATGGTTTGGAGAATTTTTATGCAGACAAAATTTGACTTTTTTCTAGTTTATTTTTGGTGCAGTTCTAGTTCAGTTCTAGTTCAGTTCTAGTTCAGTTCTAGTTCAGTTCTAGTTCAGTTCTAGTTCAGTTCTAGTTCAGTTCTAGTTCAGTTCTAGTCAGTTCTAGTTCAGTTCTAGTTCAGTTCTAGTTCAGTTCTAGTTCAGTTCTAGTTCAGTTCTAGTTCAGTTCTAGTTCAGTTCTAGTTCAGTTCTAGTTCAGTTCTAGTTCAGTTCTAGTTCAGTTCTAGTTCAGTTCTAGTTCAGTATTAATTCAGTTCTAGTTCAGTTCTAGTTCAGTTCTAGTTGAGTTCTAGTTCAGTTCTAGTTTCAATTCTAGTTCAGTTCTAGTTCAGTTCTAGTTCAGTTCTAGTTCAGTTCTAGTTCAGTTCTAGTTCAGTTCTAGCTCAGTTCTAGTTCATTTCTAGTTCATTTCTAGTTCAGTTCTAGTTCAGTTCTAGTTCAGTTCTAGTTCAGTTCTAGTTCAGTTCTAGTTCAGTTCTAGTTCAGTTCTAGTTCAGTTCTAGTTCAGTTCTAGTTCAGTTCTAGTTCAGTATTAATTCAGTTCTAGTTCAGTTCTAGTTCAGTTCTAGTTCAGTTCTAGTTTCAGTTCTAGTTCAGTTCTAGTTCAGTTCTAGTTCAGTTCTAGTTCAGTTCTAGTTCAGTTCTAGTTCTAGTTCAGTTCTAGTTCAGTTCTAGTTCAGTTCTAGTTCAGTTCTAGTTCAGTTCTAGTTCAGTTCTAGTTCAGTTCTAGTTCAGTTCTAGTTCAGTTCTAGTTCAGTTCTAGTTCAGTTCTAGTTCAGTTCTAGTTCAGTTCTAGTTCAGTTCTAGTTCAGTTCTAGTTCAGTTCTAGTTCAGTTCTAGTTCAGTTCTAGTTCAGTTCTAGTTCAGTTCTAGTTCAGTTCTAGTTCAGTTCTAGTTCAGTTCTAGTTCAGTTCTAGTTCAGTTCTAGTTCAGTTCTAGTTCAGTTCTAGTTCAGTTCTAGTTCAGTTCTAGTTCAGTTCTAGTTCAGTTCTAGTTCAGTTCTATAGATACATACTATTAAAAATCAGACGTTTCAATAAAAATCGAAATTTTCACACAAAAATCAATATTGCAATTAAAGTTTTGAAAAAGTTCAAAACTATTTAAGCTCCTCTTTTGTTTCATTTTCCTTGTAAACTCTGAATTTAATATTAATAATTCTATACATATACTTTTTCAACTCACCTGTAAATTCAACATTATGTTCTAAATATAAAATAGCAATGTCACTATGACCACTTTGGGGGCTATAATCAGGATGTTTTTCGCTCTAAAATAAACAAAACAAAATATATAATCTCTGTTAATATTTGCTGAAAAAATTCCCCGGCAAAAAAAGAACTTACTCTTACAACACGTATATCCACATGACGGCCCTCAGTATCGGTGGTTAAATCAAGTTCACCCAAACGTACAAAGGATCTAAGGAATAGCAAACAATAAATACAAAATAATTTCGAATATTTTAATTTCACTCTTACAAATCTGTTCTCAAACAATGAGCTGCTGTTACCACATGTCTGGCTGTTATCAAGGTACCACCACACTTAAACGGCGAGGTCGATAATTCATCATCATAACCGATTAAAGCAATCCAAGGCCAAGCACCCTTCCTACTCTGCTCACCGCCCACTTTTAGCTTATAGGTATTATTGCTTACACCACAACCCTCCTCAACGGTGGGCAAACGATGAGGAATTTCATCTGAATTCTTTATTAAGGGAGCATTGGTAGAAGTTTGTGGTTGGCTGTTGGTGCTGGGACAGCAAACTGCAGTACCTTCACCACCACATATCGAATTTGATGCTTTTAAAAATCTGGCAAAGGTTCGATCTTGTTGTTTCACTAGCAATTCTTCTGCTAAAGGCTTGCAATCTCTAATGGGCATACAGGTACCCGCTTTGAGGTCAGGACCACGGCAAATAGTTTGACTTTGGGGACGTGTTGTTGCTTGCGGTACAACGTAGGGTCTTGTGCAACAGACCTAGAGATAAAAAGGAAAACATTGATGTTTTCGATTTGTGAAAAAAGGAATGGTTTTGTTTACAATAACTTACCACTGTTTCGCCATTTACACTTCTAGTGCCGCAGGCTCTCTGTGATAGTATAATATATTGTTGGACCTGTGTTTGACTACCGCTCTGGATAACATTGGCAATTTGTGGACAAAAGCTTAAAGCAACGCAGGAGCCATTGTAGTTTTCGGGTGTAACACAATATTGTGCTGAAAAGAGGAATTGAAAAAGAAGATTTGACATTTTTATTAACTTTTGGGGAAGATTTATATGTTTGTTTGTAGATAATAGACAATTTCTGGAAATATCCCGATTAAAACAAATTTCCGCTGGAATCAGATATTTACTTACAAATTTAAAATTTTCCCCAAATATTGGATTATCACTTAATTTAAGGTGACAATGAACTACTGAAACCAGAAGATCTCAGGGATTCACATTTTTAACAATTCCATTAGACACGCTTTCAAAAAAGTTTTTCAGAGCATCATAATCTAGTTAATAAACAATCAGCATACTAGTCGACAGGTTTATTAATAAACCATACATAGACTGAGTAATAGACTAGCCCATAGACAAGGACATATAGCCTAGACAAGTTCAAAGACTAAACAATAGGCTAGTCCATATATTAATAATCAATAGGCAAGTGCTAGAACTAGTCAGTCTATTGATCATTAAACTAGTTAAAATCTTAAAAATATCTAGAGTCTTTAGAAAATTTATTTAAATTTATGGACAGACGGACGGAAAATGGATTAACAAACTTTTATACAAGTGAAGGATATAATAAGGAATTTATTCAAAAAACAAGTAAGAGTTCTATATTCGGCTGTGAGGAATCTTATATATCCTTCACCATGATGTGTTAACAAAAAAAAAAACAGCCAGTACAAAAAATAAAAATACTAGTTGTAAAACGAAAAAGTACCAGAAAGTACCCTTTTAAAGATTTTCGCTCTATCAGGGTGCTGCGAATGTGCATAAAAACCAAAAAGTGCCAGTCATGGAACAAAAAAGTTACAAACATACTTTCCTCCAGATTTGCATTAACTGAGAAATCTTAATGTTTAATTTAAAAAAAAAATCAAAAGGTACTCTTTTCCCCTTTTACATGTTCTCACTTACTCCTAGTTCTACATGCACAATTTCATGTTTCTAGGTTCAATATTATAGAAGATTCGAAAAGTACCTTTTGAAGAATGAAAAAGTACCAAAAAATCCCCTTCTATGTGTTCTCACTTAATCCGGGTTCGCATGATTTATTTCATGTTTTTAGGTACAATATTTTAGAAAATTCAAAAAGTAGCTTTTGTAGAACGAAAAAGTACCAAAAAGTCCTCTTTTATGGGTTCTCACATAATTTCATGTTTCTAGGTTCAATATTATAGAAAATTCAAAAACTATCTTTTGAAGAACGAAAAAGTACCAAAAAGTCCCCTTTTGTGGGTTCTTACTTAATTTCATGTTTTTAGGTTCAATATTATAGAAAATTCAAAAAATACCTTTTGTAGAACGAAAAAGTACCAAAAAGTGGTATTTTATGTGTTACCATTTAATTTCATATTTCTAGGTTCAAAATTATAGAAAATTCAAAAAGTACCTTTAGTAGAACGAAAAACTAACAAAATGTGTTGTTGTCGCTCGTTTGAGTATGAACGAAAAATCTAAATTTTTGACGAAATTTTCAGAGTGTGTTGAATAGTGTTCTTCCCGATCGTATGTCTGATAGAATTATTGAAGATTCGGATTTCGCAGATATCTAGGGTCTTCTGAAAACTGATTTCAACATACACACGGACAGACAGACGGACAGACAGACAGACAGACAGACAGGCAGACAGGCAGACAGACAGACAGACAGACAGACAGACGGACAGACAGACAGACAGACAGACAGACAGACAGACAGACAGACAGACTGACTGACAGACAGACAGACAGACAGACAGACAGACAGACAGACAGACGGACAGACAAACAGACATTTGAAAACAAACTTAACTAAAAAAGGCAGTAGATGGACATCGCTAAATCGACTTCGACGCCTATAAGGAGTTGCAAATTGAATTTGTACCTCATAAGGACACAAAATTAATATTTTTTTAAATTATGAACAGCTATACCCAGTGTGCTTAGCTATCCTAAAAACAATCTATATAATTAATAGACAAGGCGATTTTTTGTGACCCCTTTTACTCTTATCGTATATATATTGGTCGCAGATATATAGTTTTTATTTTTACATAGGTACATATTTTTATAATCTGAATTTTTTAATTCAATTTCGACTAGGGACATTTTTTATTTTGTATGAAAGTAGCCACGTCCACTATTGATAATTCGCCCATGTTGTTCCCATGTTGAGAGCTCCTACGTGCTTTAGTTTCCCATATACATATACTATATATATGGCAGATGTAACGCCCACTATTGTAAGTTGATATTGGCTAGCAATATTAGGTGTGGGATGTGCCACACCCACTATTGCTAGTTCGCCCATTTTTCGCTTAACAGAAAATATTTTCTTTTTCTTTTGTAAAATATAAATTATTTTCTGGTTTTGAAATACAATTAAAAGTGTCGAAAAAAATAAACAATTAAATATAATATTAAGTGATAAGAACAACTATTAACCCCATGCTATTAACCCCGTATTTTCGTCTCTAGAGAATAAAAAATTTTGTTTGACAAACGTTTCAGTATCGCCTATGTACAACTATTTGTACACATTAATTTTTATATATACATATATTTAGATAAGAATAAAATTTTAAAGCATGTTTAATAATTTCATTTAATAATGAAAAAGCAACTCAAAGTTTTAAATTTATTTTGTATATAATATTTACCTTGTTGTTGTTCGGCCAACACAGTGGTTGTAATACATGCCACAACAATTAATGCGAAATTTATATTCAATTTCATTTCTGATTTTTTTAAATTTTATTTATAATTAATTTTTTATTAATAATTTTTGGCACTTAAAATTAAATTTGTCTTTATTTTTCAATAAATTTTAAATTCTGTTAAACATTTTTTTTAAATAAATTTAGCCACCAAGTTTTTTATTTAAATTTTTTAATTATCACAATTTTTCAGATTTTACAAAAAAAATTTTCGTTGCTTTTATGTACGCGTTTATTGCGAAACTGTTTTCAAATTTCTCTCCTCAGTTAAGAAGAAGCTTTTGCGTTGTGTGACCGGCAAATATGTATATTGGGCAAAAGCCGAATATGTCTTAGTAGTGGTTACACTAGTAGTCAGTCTATATATTGAGTTGTTGTTTGTATTGTTAAGTACGTAAGTTGTGACGTCTAAATTGAACCGGTTGTATTGTTTTTATATACTCTCTCTTTAAACGCTTGTTTTTAATTAAGGGACTTTTTCACAAGACTAGACTATAGACTACACTGTAGACTAGACTATAGACTAGACTATAGACTACACTGTAGACTAGACTATAGACTAGACTATAGACTAGACAATAGACTAAACTATAGACTAGACTATAGACTAGACTATAGACTAGACTAGACTAGACTATAGACTAGACTATAGACTAGACTATAGACTAGACTATAGACTAGACTATAGACTAGACTATAGACTAGACTATAGACTAGACTATAGACTAGACTATAGACTAGACTATAGACTAGACTATAGACTAGACTATAGACTAGACTATAGACTAGACTATAGACTAGACTATAGACTAGACTATAGACTAGACTATAGACTAGACTATAGACTAGACTATAGACTAGACTATAGACTAGACTATAGACTAGACTATAGACTAGACTATAGACTAGACTATAGACTAGACTATAGACTAGACTATAGACTAGACTATAGACTAGACTATAGACTAGACTATAGACTAGACTATAGACTAGACTATAGACTAGACTATAGACTAGACTATAGACTAGACTATAGACTAGACTATAGACTAGACTATAGACTAGACTATAGACTAGACTATAGACTAGACTATAGACTAGACTATAGACTAGACTATAGACTAGACTATAGACTAGACTATAGACTAGACTATAGACTAGACTATAGACTAGACTATAGACTAGACTATAGACTAGACTATAGACTAGACTATAGACTAGACTATAGACTAGACTATAGACTAGACTATAGACTAGACTATAGACTAGACTATAGACTAGACTATAGACTAGACTATAGACTAGACTATAGACTAGACTATAGACTAGACTATAGACTAGACTATAGACTAGACTATAGACTAGACTATAGACTAGACTATAGACTAGACTATAGACTAGACTATAGACTAGTACTATAGACTAGACTATAGACTAGACTATAGACTAGACTATAGACTAGACTATAGACTAGACTATAGACTAGACTATAGACTAGACTATAGACTAGACTATAGACTAGACTATAGACTAGACTATAGACTAGACTATAGACTACTAGACCTATAGACTAGACTATAGACTAGACTATAGACTAGACTATAGACTAGACTATAGACTAGTACTATAGACGAGACTTAGACTATAGACTAGACTATAGACTAGACTATAGACTAGACTATAGACTAGACTATAGACTAGACTATAGACTAGACTATAGACTAGACTATAGACTAGACTAGACTAGACTATAGACTAGACTATAGACTAGACTATAGACTAGACTATAGACTAGACTATGACAGACTATAGACTAGACTATAGACTAGGCTTTAGACTAACTATAGACTAGTCTATAGTGTAGTATAGACTAGAATATCCGCTATACTACACACTAGAAATTAGATTTGACCATAGAATAGACATTTGTAGTTACTCCATTTTATACGTGAAAAAAACTTCAAAAATCTCTAAATGTTGGTAAAAATCGCCAAATTTCCCGCTAACTGCTAAAACGGATTTTCCCGTAATTGCCATTTCAAAAACGTTAGATTTGATGGGAAAACGTCAAATTGGCAACAGTGACTACATCATGAACTGGTCCGAAGACTAGCCCCAGACCATATAGAAAAATACACCTAAGTAGAATACTATCAGACCTGTTGAGCGTATTTTTCCGTAGAGAACGTTAATGGTAAACTTAAATTCATTTGCATGGAATTTTCCAACCGGGTTGGAATTTTCTAAAGTAATCACAGATGTTACACAATAATAAATAGAAAGCGCGGGTGATCTTGCTTTTTGATCATAACATAACAAACAAAGTAATAAAACACAGATCTTTAACATAATAAAAAAGAAATCTTCGAATAAAATAATTTTTTTAAATATATTTGCATAATTTCATTCAACATCTGTAGACCGATATAAAGGTGAAAGGATTTTGATTTAACTTGAAAAGAAAAGTAAAAGGTTTTAGATGTTAATCAACCGCAACAAATTACACATAACAACCCTTTATTCCCTTATATACCTAACAAACATAATAAAACACATTGTTTCTATTCAATAAAAATAATTAAATCTTTAGAACAAATTTTATTTAAAAATATGAAAATAATAAAAATCAAAATCAAAAAAAATTTAACATTAAACTGTATAAATAATCTCTCACTCTATTACTTAGACTACAATTGAGGCTTAAAATTATTAAAAAAATATAAAAAAAAACAGACATAAATATTACTTAAAGGCAAAAAACGGCCAAAAAAGGTAATAATTTAAGGAGTATCAGCTACTTTTTGTGCAATCCAATCAATGAAATGTTGTGTACTTGAATAGACACCGGGAATTTCGGGACGGGCACAACCAATACCATAGGATACAACACCAATCAAATAGAAACGCACATTGTTGCCATAGTTCTAAAATAACAAACAAAAAGAAAGAGTTTATTTATTAAATAATCACATAAAAGATCTTAAACTTACCTCTGGTATCATAAGAGGACCACCAGAATCTCCCTGACAGGTATCCTTGCCACCGGATAGTACACCCGCACATAAAACAGCTTTATCAAATTGATTTTCGGTAAATAGACGATTCTGCTGTTTATAACGATCTCTACACACTTGATTGTCATAAATGGGAATTTGTAATTCTTGTAGGACATTGGAAGAGGTACCACCCTCCATTGTTTTACCCCAACCTATGACGAAGGGAGTGTAGGTACATAGGATTTTGCCTCAATTCCGGTGTGATGGGCAAGATGGGAGAAATGAATTCTGGAGGGACAAACGTTATTATAAATATTGAATTAATATCGGTAATTTCGAATCTTTTCGGATAATTTCAGTTCGTTCTAGTTTCAGGTTCTAGTCAGTTCTAGTTCAGTTTTCTAGTTCAGTTCTAGTTCAGTTCTAGTTAAGTTTCAGTTCAGTCTAGTTCAGTAGTTCTAGTTCAGTTCTAGTTCAGTTCTAGTTCAGTTCTAGTTCAGTTCTAGTTCAGTTCTAGTTCAGTTCTAGTTCAGTTCTAGTTCAGTTCTAGTTCAGTTCTAGTTCAGTTCTAGTTCAGTTCTAGTTCAGTTCTAGTTCAGTTCTAGTTCAGTTCTAGTTCAGTTCTAGTTCAGTTCTAGTTCAGTTCTAGTTCAGTTCTAGTTCAGTTCTAGTTCAGTTCTAGTTCAGTTCTAGTTCAGTTCTAGTCAGTTCTAGTTCAGTTCTAGTTCAGTTCTAGTTCAGTTCTAGTTCAGTTCTAGTTCAGTTCTAGTTCAGTTCTAGTTCAGTTCTAGTTCAGTTCTAGTTCAGTTCTAGTTCAGTTCTAGTTCAGTTCTAGTTCAGTTCTAGTTCAGTTCTAGTTCAGTTCTAGTTCAGTTCTAGTTCAGTTCTAGTTCAGTTCTAGTTCAGTTCTAGTTCAGTTCTAGTTCAGTTCTAGTTCAGTTCTAGTTCAGTTCTAGTTCAGTTCTAGTTCAGTTCTAGTTCAGTTCTAGTTCAGTTCTAGTTCAGTTCTAGTTCAGTTCTAGTTCAGTTCTAGTTCAGTTTCTAGTTCAGTTCTAGTTCAGTTCTAGTTCAGTTCTAGTTCAGTTCTAGTTCAGTTCTAGTTCAGTTCTAGTTCAGTTCTAGTTCAGTTCTAGTTCAGTTCTAGTTCAGTTCTAGTTCAGTTCTAGTTCAGTCTAGTTCAGTTCTAGTTTCAGTTCTAGTTCAGTTCTAGTTCAGTTCTAGTTCAGTTCTAGTTCAGTTCTAGTTCAGTTCTAGTTCAGTTCTAGTTCAGTTCTAGTTCAGTTCTAGTTCAGTTCTAGTTCATTCTAGTTCAGTTCTAGTTCAGTTCTAGTTCAGTTCTAGTTCAGTTCTAGTTCAGTTCTAGTTCAGTTCTAGTTCAGTTCTAGTTCAGTTCTAGTTCAGTTCTAGTTCAGTTCTAGTTCAGTTCTAGTTCAGTTCTAGTTCAGTTCTAGTTCAGTTCTAGTTCAGTTCTAGTTCAGTTCTAGTTCAGTTCTAGTTCAGTTCTAGTTCAGTTCTAGTTCAGTTCTAGTTCAGTTCTAGTTCAGTTCTAGTTCAGTTCTAGTTCAGTTCTAGTTCAGTTCTAGTTCAGTTCTAGTTCAGTTCTAGTTCAGTTCTAGTTCAGTTCTAGTTCAGTTCTAGTTCAGTTCTAGTTCAGTTCTAGTTCAGTTTCAGTTCTTTCAGTTCTAGTTCAGTTCTAGTTCAGTTCTAGTTCAGTTCTAGTTCAGTTCTAGTCAGTTCTAGTTCTAGTTCAGTTCTAGTTCAGTTCTAGTTCAGTTCTAGTTCAGTTCTAGTTCAGTTCTAGTTCAGTTCTAGTTCAGTTCTAGTTCAGTTCTAGTTCAGTTCTAGTTCAGTTCTAGTTCAGTTCTAGTTCAGTTCTAGTTCAGTTCTAGTTCAGTTCTAGTTCAGTTCTAGTTCAGTTCTAGTTCAGTTCTAGTTCAGTTCTAGTTCAGTTCTAGTTCAGTTCTAGTTCAGTTCTAGTTCAGTTCTAGTTCAGTTCTAGTTCAGTTCTAGTTCAGTTCTAGTTCAGTTCTAGTAGTTCAGTTCTAGTTCAGTTCTAGTTCAGTTCTAGTTCAGTTCTAGTTCAGTTCTAGTTCAGTTCTAGTTCAGTTCTAGTTCAGTTCTAGTTCAGTTCTAGTTCAGTTCTAGTTCAGTTCTAGTTCAGTTCTAGTTCAGTTCTAGTTCAGTTCTAGTTCTAGTTCAGTTCTAGTTCAGTTCTAGTTCAGTTCTAGTTCAGTTCTAGTTCAGTTCTAGTTCAGTTCTAGTTCAGTTCTAGTTCAGTTCTAGTTCAGTTCTAGTTCAGTTCTAGTTCAGTTCTAGTTCAGTTCTAGTTCAGTTCTAGTTCAGTTCTAGTTCAGTTCTAGTTCAGTTCTAGTTCAGTTCTAGTTCAGTTCTAGTTCAGTTTCTAGTTCAGTTCTAGTTCAGTTCTAGTTCAGTTCTAGTTCAGTTCTAGTTCAGTTCTAGTTCAGTTCTAGTTCAGTTCTAGTTCAGTTCTAGTTCAGTTCTAGTTCAGTTCTAGTTCAGTTCTAGTTCAGTTCTAGTTCAGTTCTAGTTCAGTTCTAGTTCAGTTCTAGTTCAGTTCTAGTTCAGTTCTAGTTCAGTTCTAGTTCAGTTCTAGTTCAGTTCTAGTTCAGTTCTAGTTCAGTTCTAGTTCAGTTCTAGTTCAGTTCTAGTTCAGTTCTAGTTCAGTTCTAGTTCAGTTCTAGTTCAGTTCTAGTTCAGTT